ACCAACAACAACAAGTAGCAGTATTATTGTCTTTAACAGATTCATCCGAAAGTATAGGAGGGAAAAAGAAAAAGAAAATAAAATTTTGAAGTTACAAAAAAACAGATTTTTTTTTTGTTGGAATGTTAAATTCTATGTACACAATTCTATTGCTGATTACTGCTGTTGGATTGCCGTGGTTGGCAGAATGTAATTCAAGATATCAAAAATTTTTTGTTAATACCAGGTAATTTTTACCTTTTTTTCATTTTATTGTTATTTTCTGCTCTTTCAACTTAATAAATCTGTCAATGTTGTTTTTATTTGTTTTTTACAGTTAGTAATTTGAGTTCATTAATTTTTTTCCTATTTTTTTTTTTTTTGCCAAATTTGATAAATAATTGAAAATTAAATTTACTTTTTGTGCTGTTGACAAACAGCATCCTTAACTTATATAACATTTAGGGGGTCATCAGAAAATTTTGTCAGAACTAACGGTATAGTGGGTCAAATTTATTGTCACTAATAATGATAGCTAATTTTTTTTTTCCTTTTGTCTAAAACGATTATTTATTTGTCAAAATAAGTTTTAAAAATTGATACTTTATAATTAAATTATTGTTTCCGGGCAAACCATTTTTCTTTTGTTGCTATTAGTTTTGTTCTTTTTTTTGTCAGGTTAAATTAGTTTTATTGAATTTTTATAATCGTTTAGCAACCAACTAACACATTAATTAGATTTATTATTTTTTCTGACTTTAGCACTGTTTAACCAAAAAAAAAACGCTCGTTTTACAAATTAAATTTATTTCTTTTAAAATAAAAATGCCATTGAACAGTGAGTTCCACTTTTTTCCCCCCCTTTTCTTTTCATATTAATGTCAGGTAAATTGTATTTTCTTTTTCTTTGTAGAGCCATTAATTTTGTGGATGCAACAAAACATGGATTTCGAATTATTCTACTGGATGGTTTTGTAGAAAAATATTTAGCACCAACACAGATTCCAACATTATTTATCACAGCAATACCGTTAAAAATTGGTGAAAAAACATTGGCAAAAATTTTTTACCCAGATAATGTTCGAGATGATCGACAGGTAACTAAAACTCATCACTTTTTGATATGCTCTGGTTTTTTTTTGCTGTAGTTTTTTTTTTTTTGGTCTTAAAATTGCCAGGTTATCGTAACTTATTTTTGCTGAGTTTAAGCCTTTTCAACAACTGATTATAAAAAGCGCAAAAAAAAAGATAAAATATGAAATAAATAAATTAAAGAAAAGAGAGTAAAAAGAGTTATGAACTTTCTTCCTGTTTACTGTTACAAAATGACAAAAAAAAAAAAGATTTATTTGGATTGAAACTAATAGTTGCTGTTTTTTTCGTTACATTTCGACAAAATAGCTGCATAGCAGGTGTTCAAATTCAGTTTTATCATATTGAACTTTTATTATCCATTGTACTCTGTAACAAAAAAAAAAACTTTCTGATCGTAACTTTTTCTTTTGGACAGCTAAATTTTTTGAAGATTAATATTACTAATATTACTATTCTACAGTTGTAGTAAAATTCCAGGTTAGTATCACCGATCTGAATGAACGATCATGGTACTATCTGTGCGTAGAATGGGAAAATTTTAATCGGCACAATGAGTCAACAGGAACTGATTGTCGAATGTTACGAACTTTAGACAAAAGTGGTAAAGGTGCAGATAGTACCATTGATGATGTTGAATTGATGGATATCACCTCAACCTCAATGCAATTTAAACTTCGGTCTACAGTTGACTTTCCTATACGGTAAAAAAAAAAAATTGGATTATTTCTTACCAAAATTCGATTCTTCTTACTCATACTTGCCCTTTTTCTTCTCATCAAAGTAACCTAGTTTAAGGCTGACTTTATCGTTGGAAGGTGGAACAGGCCCAGTACCACCTGCACAAACATTTGTTTACAAAGATCGAAGTGATGTTGAGGTTTCATTCCAATTCTTAGCTCAAGATAGAGAATATGGCAAATTATGTGTTATTGAAGAGCCACTTATTACTGGATATACAACTATGGGAAGATTGGCTGCACAAATTTACATTCAAAAATGCTATTTCAGTTAGTTTTCTTTTGCCAAACTACACTTTTTTTCTGAATTAAAACTTTTTACCTTTAGCCTTCTTTAGCACTGAGTTTTTTTTTTTTT